GGAAGAAGAATTGAAATGTGTAATTGTTAGGCAAAAAGTTTAGAGATTTTGCTTGAAATTTGAAATCTTGATTGTGATGTTTTTACAAGTTAGGGATTTAAGGAGGAAGAAATTGAAATGTGTAATCTTTAGGGTCTGTTTGAGACATTTTGTATGGATTTTGGTTTGTTTTCAGGTGATATGGAGAAAGTTGCAGCAACATCATTGGCATTCTTCAAGCATGTTCGTTTAAGTGATGAGTATAAGAATCTACCGGCTTTTCTCTTTGGTGAATCGATGGGAGGTCTTGTTACGCTGCTCATGTATTTTCAATCCGAACCTGATCTTTGGACTGGTTTGATCTTTTCGGCTCCTCTCTTTGTTATCCCTGAGGATATGAAACCAAGCAAGCCTCATCTTTTTGCATACGGTCTTCTCTTTGGTTTGGCTGATACGTGGGCAGTATTGCCTGATAATAAGATGATTGGGAAGGCTATCAGGGACCCGGAAAAGCTCAAGATCATCGCATTAAACCCGAATCGGTACTAAAAATCTTCCTTGAAAGCAAACAGTTACAATATCATTAGCTTTGTGATATAATCAAGATCTCATTAAGTACTTAAAGCTTGAGATTTTGTTTACATTTTCGCTTATCTTTCTTCGATCAATCGGAAGCTAAAGTATGGATTTTTGTTTTTCTCTTTGTAGATACACAGGGAAGCCTAGAGTGGGAACAATGAGAGAGTTATTGAGGAAGACTCAATACGCGCAGGAGAATTTCGGGAGAGTAACTATTCCGGTACTGACAGTTCACGGGACATCGGATGGAGTAACATGCCCTTCATCATCAAAACTACTATACGAAAAGGCATCGAGCGCTGATAAAACATTGAAGCTCTACGACGGAATGTATCATTCACTAATTCAAGGAGAACCCGATGAGGCCGCTGAGATTGTGTTGAAAGATATGAGAGAGTGGATCGACGAAAGGGTTAAGAGGTATGGATCTAAAACCGCTTGATGATACCTACATTTGTGAAGAGAAATGTACAATACCCTCGATTGGAATTATTATGTTGTTTGTGTTTCAAATCCAAGAACATGTACTCTTTTGTGATGTAATAATAAATTAACTTATATATCATGGATTATATAAATCCTACTTATATCATTTCCAAATCTTGGATTAACATGTTCATGGAATTATATAATGAAACGGGACCATACAAATACAAATGTTGTTATGTGTTTCATCTTCAATAGAGAAGATGTATTAATTTTATTTTGTCTGTTTTTATACTCTGTTTTTATCAATACTTAACGTTAAGACTCCTAGAGAATATAAAGGACACGTCCATGTCTCTTTGTAAGAAAAATTTGTATGTTTTCTAAATATCTTTTTTTTTGGAATTGAAAGAAGATTTTGTCTTCACATATATAAATTTTTATATAAATTCTTCTTCTTCTTCTCAGCCTCTCAATATTCTGCAACGGTTAGATTATGTCCCAAACTAGTTATATGACCCATTTCATATCTCTTAATCTAAAATGTAAATATATCTCAATGTTTTTTGTGTCTTTTAATTACCAAGACTTGATTTTTCCTTGATCTCTTAAGCATAAATTTCATATTTTACAATAATGCAAAATAGTACAATTTGTAATACACTTTCGTAATATCATTTAATACCATTTCTATTTGAAATGCTATGTTTCGTACCTTTTTTTTTGGTACTGTTATCTTTGGTACCATCACAAAATTTGTAGCACACCACTATTTTCTATCTTACCAATGTGATTTCGTTATTTTTTTTGTCATTCATAAAATTTATTAAGTTTTCATGTTTTCGAAAAGTAATTTATGTTCGACATCATGCAGATGTTA